TTCCTGCTAAATATACGGGTGAGTAATAACCAGCCAGCCCTGCCTGTCCACATCCTCTCTGAAACATGGTAACAGCTTCAGGGGAAAGGCAAAGCTGGTCATTCCGCAGTGGAGCTCATGAGAAGTTTTGGATTAGGGCAAGCTACTCAGAGTTGGATGGCTACACTTGTCCAACCTGGAAGCCTAGTAAAAATCTGCTCTCTGATAAGCTCTTCTCCCCCACTAGGGTTTGAATTCAGTCTCTTGTGTGTGCCATTATTCAGATATGAATGAGGGCCTGTAGTGGGAGTAGGGATCACCATCTATCATCCTACCTCTATAGTACAGCTCCACAGCTCCTCTGCGGATGCTGACTAGATGCACAGATATCTTGCTTTCCTTCCCATCAGAAGATAGGCAATATCCTTCTCCTTGAGCTGGAAGTTTCAGGAAGAACCTGTAAAGTGAACAAGGAGTTTGAAAAACATGCCCTTGACCTCACAGGCAGATTATGTATTGTGCAAAAAAATGTCGGGAGACTTGGGCTGAAAGCTTGTGTCTTCCTATAGTTCCTAAAGTGCCTGGGGCAGGGGCAAGTGAAAGAAGAGGAGGCCATGTAATGAGACAGTGTTCCTTCTTCTCAGGTGTTTGAGGCACTGCAGGAGCTGGTGTCTAAGGGCCAGGAGAATGGCCACCCTGTGCAGCTGAAGGCAGAACTTCGCACAAGGAACGTTAACAAATCACATGAGCACGGTAAGACACTTCTAAGGGCAGGTGTTTAACATTGCCCCTTGTGGTTTTGGTCTCCCCCTTCCCTCTCTTCTTGTTTGTAAAAGCCACTGAGAAATGAGGACAAGGTGCTTGCCCCGTCTCTTCTCCAGCCATGAGTAGGTAGTGCAAGGAGAGGCACTTGTGTGTGCAAAGCTTCTTCTAGATGTGACAAAATGACACATGTGGACTCTCCAGAAATAGTATCAATGAGGGAGCTTTACAAGGAAAAACTTACTTCTCCTCCTCTTAGGTTTTAACAAGTGTAAGGTTCATGCCTCACATGAGTTTTGACAACAAAGAAAACTCGCCTCAAGTTCACAGAAGCAAAGGTGGCAATTTTGGGCTCTGCAGATCAGCTGTGGTGCTGTGATCCTGGCAGAAGGCTCTCCCAGACACAAAGCCTTATCCATCAGCCTGTCATAATTTTTCTGCCTTCCAGAAGTATTTGCTAAAAACACTCCTAAAAGTGTGCTGGGTTTATAGTGAACATTGTTCTGGATGGTGAAATGTTACCAGCTGGGAAGTGGGGATGTATAAAGCTGCCCATCAGTTTTGTAAAACTTAAAAATCTCCATCTTCTGGCAAGGACCAGTCCTGAACCAGGCAAAACCAGAGCAGCAGCTGCAAACCTAGCAGTCCCTTTTCAGGTGATTGTGACAGAGTGAGGAAAGGCCATGCTCAGATGTTCACAGAGGAGAGTCGTTTCCCTGATAACCTGTGATTCAAATAAAAAGCCCTTACGAACTACCCAATTTTAAACTAAAAGGGAGGTTGTTTGGTGCATGCTGGCGTGAATCACAGTTTTCCCATGGCAAAGAATGTAAACAGATTTTTCTTGTGTGTCTCTAAAAAGTGAACCTTAAAGAAACTTTTTTGGAAAAGGCAGTAAAAGTTCTAAGTGAAACTTTGCTGCTCCTTTCCCAATACACCTATAAATGCTAGATTTTCAGAAAAAAATAGTTTTGGATGAGGAATCCCATCCTAAAGTTCCACTGAGAAAACAATTTGTCTGGAGTGCTAAGGACTACCTGTTTAAGGTCATTAGATATCTAACCAATTAAATCAATGAGATGGAGGAGACAAAATGTCTTTTACAATTCTGGCTTGAGTATTTGGCTGTCTTCTGCACACACCAGGGGTTTGATGGAGCTGCACAGTGCATTTATAAGCCTGTAAGCAGACAAGGGAAAG